ACGCTTTGAACTTTTGTAATGTCCGTGCTGTACGGCGCTCACATCAGCGGCTGTTCCACCGCTCGCATTTTGCGTCTTAATAAGCTCCGACTGCCGGGCGATCTGGACCGCTTTATCCAACGTTAGTTCGGGTTCCATTTGTAACTTCTGAGAAACGTCACGATCTGCAATCCCTATGACAACTCTGTCCCGTATTTGTTCAACTTTGCTCGCGCCAAACTCGCAGTATTCAGCCAGTTCATAAAGACACCTGACAAAAGCTTCAACAGTCTCTCCCGATCTCTGTGTGCGCTGATGAAAACAGGCTCTCTCATGAATAACATTCCTCCTGGGCACAAAATGTTCATCAAATTTGCCGACTACAGTCTCGTGATTGTTTGCGTCTGAAGCTTCGGCAAACGTGAACGATCCGAATATCGTTTCGGCATCCCTGCCCATTGCATACAACAGAGAGTTAACTTGTACTTCACCGTCTTCCTTGTTCAGTTTCGTCGCGATGCGGAACCGGGAGAACCGCTGGATCCACGCGGGCCAGGTTGCAGGCTGCGCGAAATCAAAGGCTTCTGGTGGGTTGAACTTGGACATTGTCAGTTCCAAAACTGGGCGAGCTTGCTCGTGGGTATAACGTACAATTCTGACACCATGTCTTGAGAGTAAACTCTTCATTCGTTTCACAGATTACTTTTTATTAAACAGACACGCATGTACCACGCACTTCCTATAAACTCTGCCATTCACTTTCCGGGTTAACCCCTTTGACCCCCACGGGGTGGGGTTACACCAAACAGGTACAATATGATTGGTTAACATAATAAACTGGTTTCCCACATATTGTGCACATACAAAAACTAAAACTAACTGAAACTGTATTGTGTACTTACAAAAACTAAAACTAACGAACTGTATTGTGTACATACATAACTAACTGAAACTAACTAGAATTATAGCAAAAAACTTCTTCATTTTCGTATTCGTAAATGTATTTAATAAATAATCTTACTGTAAGCATTTTAGAAGTAAATATAATCCGCGCTGCAGGTATTTGTGTTTGACCCTTTCGGACCTCAGAGTCTCCTTCCGCCATTGGGCAGATCGAGCCGGTTCTCCTCGAGTCATCTTCTCTGTTGCTCCCGCGACAAAAACAAGTGGACATGACAGCAGCACGGTGATAGCATTAAATACAGAGACTTAAAATTATTACTTTAACACATTTGTGCCCAATAATGGGTTGTATTTCTGTAGCGCAATCGCGAACGAATCTTTGTAACCGAATCTTCTTAGTGAACCGGTTGAACAAGTTCACCAAATCGAACTGAATCATTTTAAACGATTCGCGTCTCCAGTAAGCATTCACCCAGTTCTTACGTAATAACTAGCCTAATACCCCCTCTGACTCTTAGATAATCCAATATATAAGCTGCATCCCAAATGGCACACTATACACTATGCACTCATGCACTATGTACTTATGCACTTACACACTCAACAGGATAGTACATGTATGTAGTGTTGTCCCAAATGGCACACTAATGTTTTTTTACTAAGCGGAAATTCAAACCGTTTCCCTGATGATGTTTGACTGTTGCCAAATCAGTGAAATAAACGACTGAATTATCAAGTAATACCTGCCGTGAGTATTGCCGCATTTACCATCCGGAGGCGCTATAATCACTCTCGTAGGAGAATTTTGCTTTCACCATCCAAAATAAATAAAGTTATTCAACATGTGCGTCCGATCGCTCCGCCCCTTCCGCTACGTAAGCAAACCTGCGGTCGTTGAGTGCGTGAAGTGTCCATCATTACACACTTAATTTTAGCGGCTGAATGAGTGCATCATCCGGGTAATTAAAGTGCACTTATTATTTTTAGAGTTTTCAGTGTGAACACACTGCTTACACTATTTATACTACAAAATGGCGTAAAATAGTGCATAAGTATGAGAATTGGGACGCAGCTATACACTCAAGCAGTTATTAGAACAGTAACGTTACATTGAGAGTTGGTGAACCGATAATACTGCGCATGCGTGATTCAGTGAACCAAACACAAACGGTACAGCCTGCTGTATGACTGAACTGAACTTAAAACAACTGCAGCGCCGGTGAACCGAGGGCTTAAATGAGAGGATCTGGAGAAAAAACTTAAATTTATTTCATAACAGACAATCGTAATGAAATTTAAATAAGTGAAGCATGATTCAGTTGGGTTTACAGTTAGTAAAACTTTATTGTAAGACATTTTTCAAATCATGATGATGTTTTAACTGACTGAAATTACTATTGCCGACTACATAATGTTGAGTCCTAACATCTGCGTTAGAAATCTGAATTTCCCATCACCAGGCCCGGATTAATAAATCAGAGGCCCCTGGGCACAATGTCTTGTAGGCCCCCTATAACCGCACCCCATAGTTTAATTAAAAATAATATTGATATAATATTTGTTAAATAAATAAAATTAATCTATAATGTATTGCCCACATTTTTTTTAAATAGATGATATACAGTACATATATTTGTAGTCTACAGAGATTTAACTTATTTTTAAAGCATTTAAGCACACTTTAAATTTTTTTTTAATACAAATAAGGGAAGCTAATAGATTTTAATATACTTGTTCAAGTTCACTGAAGCAGCACTAAAATTTATATTTAAGGGTATTTTTAATGTATAACTTCTACAAACTTATAATGCATATGATTTGGATAACACCTCTCCAATCCAGTTCTAGGAATCAGAGTCCTCAGTAATACACACACTTCATTATTCATTATTCCTACTTGTCTTCCTCGTGATGGAGAGTATGTGCCCATAATGCCCATTGGTTAATCCGGCCCTGCCCATCACTACGTCTAACCTCACAAGCAGCCTTGCACACATATTGTATTTAGGGCTGCTTTCTTGTGGGCTGTTGTATTTGAATTTGAGGATGGGTAGATGGTTGTGGTAGATGATAGTGTTCATGTGTCCTCTGAATACATGTTTCAAAAAATGTATGACTGCGTTTTTAATTATACAATATTTATCCTGTTGATTTTCAATCTTGTACCTAACAAATATCCTCATTTAGAAAAAAAACCTAAAACTAATACTGAAACTAATAAAAACTAAACTAAAACTAAGACATTTTAAAATATAGAAACTAATAAAAACTAGGAAATCTGCCTCTAAAACTAATAAAAACTAACTGAATTTGAAAACAAAAAGTCAAAACGAAATAGAAACTAAAACTAAAGAAAAATCCAAAACTATTATAACCTTGCCACATACAACTTGATCTTCCATTGTTTATTGAATTTGATAAAAAGTGTGCAACATCTTCACGCTAGAAAGCATGTTTTATGTGGTAATGTAACTGATATGATATAATATGCTGCAACGGCGACCTTTGACGTTTTCACCACCTTCGGTGTGAATGCACAGTTATAGGAATGAATGTGATGTTCAATATGAGAAAGGTAAGAATGACCGCTATGACCATTACAGTAGTTTCAGTGTTAAGCACATTTTGTGTTCAAATATTCATTTATTCATTCATTTCTGCTTAGTCCCTTTATTAATCTGGGGTCGCCACAGCGGAATGAACCGCCTGTACAAATATTTGATAATGCTAATTAAATTTTTTCTCTCTCTTAGTTCCTCTCTGTTCAAAGCTCCATGGGCTCGAGTGATGGTGTATGGATTCAGTCATAAAGTGCAGCGTAATGGCCAGCTGAACCTGATGGGGGCCGTGTGTTTCCCGCTGGACGCCTCTCCGTCCAACACCGGCCTCACTTCTCCACCCACAGCCAACCAGTATCCTAGCATCATCATCCCCACCGACAAAGTGCACAACAAATTGGGCACGTCACAATCTCTTACATACAGTGGGGGAAAGAAGTATTGAACACGTCACCATTTTTCTCAGAAATCATATTTCTAACGGTGCTGGAGACTTGAAATGTTCACTGCATGTCGGTAAGAACTAAAGAAATCCATATATACAAAGAAAATAAAAACAATTTGTTGTTGATTAAATGATGTGCAATAAAATGAAATAACGCAGGGAAAAATAATCGAACACATGAAGAAATGGGGTGTAGAAAGACTTGGAAAGCCCAGACAGCAGCTGAAATCTCTCAGTAGTTCTTTAGCAACCCTCTGCCCTTCCTCAGTGTAAATGAACATCAGCTGCTTCAGTCCAACATCTACATTAGCAGGAGGATAAAGATAAAACCAGGGTGGACATTTCAGCAAGACAGTGATCCAAAACACAGCCAAGGAGACTCTTAAATGCTTTCAGAGAAAGAAAACCAAGCTGTAGAATGGCCCAGCCAATCACCTGAACTGAATTCAATAGAAAACACAAAATAAAGCTCAGATTTAATAGACGAGACGCACAGAAGCACTAAAATTTTGAATCTCTGTTGAAGTCTATGAGAAACTCACACTTGAGCAACGCATGAGGCTTCAGTCTCCATGTGAGAGGCGTCTTTAAGCTGCGATCACCAAAAAATCCTTTTATATAAAGTATTAAATACGTTGGGCGAGGCAGTCACAGCAAGAAGGTCGCTGGTTCGAACCTCGGCTCAGTTGGCGTTTCTGTATGGAGTTTGCATGTTCCAAATGCAAACTTGCTGAATAAGTTGGCGGTTCATTTCGCTGTGGCGACCCCGGATTAATAAAGGGACTAAGCCGACAAGAAAATGAATGAATTAAATACGTTTCAACAGTTCAGTACTTTCTCCTTGTGTCATTTCATTGTTATTACACAAAACTCATATTTTTTGGTTTTGTTTTATGTTTATGTTTGTATTGTTTGGGTTTTTATCAAAATCTGGTTCAATTCCATGTCAGCAGCTCTTATAGTAAAACATGGCGTGTTTAATACTTATTTTCCCCACTGTACATTTATTTTATTTTAACAGTGATCTGCATTATTTTGCATTCTCTAAGTGAACAATCAGATTCATTAAGACCATTCCTGCTGACTTTAGCTTATATCTATATTTCTGTCCACAGGCGTGTCTCCCCCTCCTGGAGCAGTGCTGGTGTTGCACTCGTTGCTTCTTGAGTTTCCATTGGCGATGGCCTTCGCTGAACAGCTGCTAACCTACAGTTTAGGAGAAACAATAGAGCGCTCTGAGGATGAGCTGGACACGGTGCCCACTTCTGTGCTCATTCAGGTCGTGGAGCTGCTAGGTGAGATATGCTTCTTTAATTTGCTCTGAGTTTATACAACCAGGGGTGTATAAACTCAATCCTGGATGGCCGGTGTCCTGCAGAGTTTAGCTCCAACCCCAATTAGATACACCTAAACAAGTTAATCACGCTCTAACTAGCATTCTAGAAACTTCCTGGCAGGTGTGTTGAAGCAAGTTGGAGCTAAACCCTAGACATTATATGTTGCATTCAACACATTGCTGTTTTGTTTGTTTCAACAGTTTGTTTTCCTTTTTTTTTAAGTCTTGAAGTGTCTTAAATGTGCTATTATAGTGTTGTCACGATACTGGAATTCGGTACCAATCGATACTGAAGTTTTAAAAACAACCCAGGCTCATTCTGAAAGCGTAGTCCCATGGACGTTTTTGGAGACCGCAAAATACGTCCCGGGAGGTACTTATTCATGCATTTTTGGTGTTCGAAAATCCACAAGAGGCCACTGTGTACGCTTTTTTAGATCTCAAATTTCTCGAGTAAGTTCTCCCGCTAGTGCCGTTTGCGCCCGCTGTCCACGCGTAAACCCACTGGAAGCCGCTTTCGACCGACCCACCCTCCTTCTTCCCTAAACCCAACCAATTTTATCAATTGAACCGCCCACTCACTTCCCTAAACCCAACCAATGATTTTCAAAAGCCGTCCAGAAAAAGAAAAGCCCTCGTCTGATTTTTACCATGTTTTTGGATTTTACCACATTCTTACCCTGTTATTCACTCATTCATTTTATTTTTTGGATTCTGTTTTTGTCTTACCTGATTTCTGGAACCGCTCCTCCCTGGATTTGAATCCCGCCGTCCTTGTCCTCGTCTGGCGTCTCAAGTTCGTTGATGTACACGACGAGCTAACTGGACAAACTGGTTGCGGTGGGAAAGCCTTCCACAGTTAGCGTTCGTTTAAAAAAAATTTAATGCAGCCATACCATACATACCTCCGGCTACATAATTCGCGGTCTCCAGAATCGTCCCCGGGACTATGTTTTCAGAATGAGCCTGTGATGCTGTTTAAAAACCTCCATTTCACGCTAACATTTGAGCACCATTGAGCGCTTTCTTAAACAGCGCTGATTTTGTGTTCACATGCTCAACAGAAATGACTGCAATTGGCCGTGAAGGTCGTCGGTTTATTGAACTCACTGCTATTTACTGAGTGTAACCACATATACAGGAACACTGTTTTAAAGTCACATCCATCAGCTGATTTGGATATAAGCTGACATATGAGTGATCCGCTGATGAATCACGGCTTTAAAATGCTTCAGTGTAACACAGATAACATATACAGTTATTTTAAACACTTTCTATGGTGCGTTATGAAAATTCAAAGGGTTTTCTTTAAAATGATACTAAATTTTTGCATTTACACCTCTGCGTGTGGATTTTGGAAGCTTTTAAATTTGGGTAGGCAAAATCCATGTGGAAATCCCAAAATAGCACTGGGGTTTAAGAGGTTAATGAAATCTTATTGCTAAGTGTGACCGATTAAATATTTAAAGGTGCAGTATGTAGTTTTTACCACTAGAGGGCATGTATTCACAACAAACAAAGGTGTAGTCTGATGACTGTGTGACGGGTGCTTTCACACCTAGACTTTTGTTTCAGAACATGTCTCGTTTGCCCAGTTAGTGTGGTTTGTTTGGCATATGTGAATCCAGCAGTCGCGCTTGGATCCGTGCCAAAACAATCGGTCTGAGATCGCCTGAATGAGGTGGTCTCGACTCGATTTAATGAACTCTGGAGCGGATCTATTGTAGTAAGAAAGCGATACGATCCGAGTCCGGCTATATCACAGTGGATATGTAATAGGCATATACTCGGCTATATAAAGACAGAATTATGAGTAGGGGGGGAGGTCATTCCAGACATCCCAAGTCTCCCGGAAGTCTCCCGCACAGTGGACCCTCCCAGTCCACAAATACGTTGCGCACCCTTCTCAACCCTCCACACCGAATCCCTCCTCGCTCTTTAGTCTTCATACACGTTGCGCGCACCCTGTCAAACACCACCAAACCCCCAGCCCCCCTGACAGCAGAGCAGGACTCTTCAAAATAAACCGTGAAACTGACCAATGTGAGGAGAGTTTACTCACACATGACTTGTTTTAGCTCTTTTGGTCCGTTCAGTAACTTTGCAGTGTGAAAGTGAACCGCACCAAGAACAAAGAGCAACAATGAAGCAACAAATGAATCTGTTCACAGGTGTGAAAGCACCCTGAGTGTGGAATCATGGGAGTTGTAGTCTTCATTATTCTACAGGACTTATGTTGATGAGTGAAGTTATTCAACACTATTAGTATTAACCATTCAGCACAGGAAAGCAGCAGAGCTTTTATTATGCCATAGTCCTACGCTTCTGGTTCTTTATCTTGTGATCACATGGAGAAGCAGCCCTTTTTTATCAGACTAAATACATGTTAAGCAGGTCGCACACCAGAAGCGCCACGCAGCGCCATGCATTTTAGAATTCTAAGCATAGGTTTCTATCAGGATACACACATCAGCGCCGCAAGTCGGCGGCTGTCGGCGGCGCCCGGCCACGGCTCAGGACGCAGTTCATTTTTCAGCCGCGCCACAGAGCGCCATCTGATTAGTTTCATGTTAAATATCATTCTAATGTGCGTGTCTGGTGTGTAATACTTTAAACTGTCATGTGCGCGCCGTGTCGCGGCGCTTCTGGTGTGCGACCTGCTTTAGGCTTCTGTTATAATGCTGCTATGTGCAGTTGAATAAAACACACAACATATTAAAGCCTCGCTGCTGTTTCCCTGTTTTCTAGAAAACCAAAGCAGAAATGTGTGTGATGACATTAGCATGAACACACAGCACACATTACATCTATCTTAATGTCAAAATTCTACAAAAAAATTTGTGTGGATAATGTATGTACATAAGACAGCAAAATATATAACACTGTCCTAGTGGTTTTTGCATATTTTAATGAAAAATCATACATATTGTGCCTTTAAGTTCATACTAGCATTCCTAATCATATAAAAATGCAACTTTTCTTATGAAATGCTGTATATAATAGCAGTTTATGTGTGATTTTATCATGTACTGTAGATCATATGATAAATGTTGTTTCTCCAGAACTGTACTGAGTGAGAAAACAACCGTCCTCAAGCCAAAATCTCCAGAGAAGACCAAACCCGATGAAAAAGACCCTGAGAAATCTCCTGCCAAAAATCTTGAAGGTCATTAATTTTACTTTCCTGATTTCTGATTTTATGTGGAAATTATAAACACAAACCTCATATATGCTCATCTAAACGTAAAAGCTGTTAAAGGGACAGTTAAATACTGAAAATTCCTCATCCGCCACTTGTTTAAAACCTGTTTGAGTTTCTTTCTTCTGTTCAGTCAGAATTATTAGCCCCCCTGTCTATTCTTTCCCCAATTTCTGTTTAACAGAGAGCAGATTTCTTCAACACATTTCTAAACATAATAGTTTTAATAACTCATTTCTAGTAGCTGATCTATTTTATCTTTGCCATGATGACAGTAAATAATATGTGACTAGATATTTAACAAGGCAGGTTAGGGTAATTAGGCAAGTTATTGTATAACGATGGTTTGTTCTGTAGACTATCAAAAAATATATAGCTTAAAAGTGCTAATAATATTGATCTTAAAATGGTGTTTAAGAAAATTAAAAACTGCTTTTCACTTGATCCTTTGATAGTCCTCTTTGGTGTATCCCTTGAACCTGATTTGACAGTGCATGACAGCAAGGTTCTTGCCTTTACCACAATTCTAGCCAGACGTGCCATACTTTTAAAATGGAAACACACTTCTTCCCCTACACATGACAAGTGGATACAGGACATTTTTTACTGTATCAGACTTGGAATGCTGAGATGCTCATTGCTCACTCTCTGGCTCATTAGATTCCTTTTATAAGATTTGTAATTCCTTTCTTGACTACATCAAAGGCCTGCCTATTACACCTGGTGCTAGCAACCTGTAACATTAACCATTTTATTAGAAAGTTTTAATTAATTTTATTATTATCATTTTTTGTATTTATTTAAATGCATTATTATTATTTTAATTATTATTATTTATCTCATCTGTATCCAGTTACTCTGATGTCATGTTCTAATGTATTTAATTTTCTTTTTTTGGTATTTATGTATTTATTGTTTTGTTGAGTTAATGAACGAGAGGTTAGGGGGTGGGATTATTTATGGACAATACATTACTGTTTACCTCTCAATATTTAATTTTTATTGTCATGCAAAAGACCAATAAAAAAACTGAAATAACTAAAAAAAAGCTTTTATTCTAGCCAAAATAAAAACAAATAAGACTTTCTCCAGAAGAACAAATATTATCAGACATACTGTGAAAATTTCCTTGCTCTGTTAAACATCATTTAGGAAATATTTAAAAAAGAAAACAATAAATAAAAGAGGGCTTATGATTCTGACTTCAACTGTATGTGTCCAATAAAAATTTTCAGGAAGTCTCTCAATATCTAAATATACACTCCACTGCAAAGGCTAATAAAAACGTAAATATGACTAAAAATTAGACATGAATGTTGTCACACATAACTGGGCACATAAAAACTGACATCTAAAGGTTGAACTGTGGTTTTGCAGGTGATTAAGTTTATTTCGAGCCTAAATTCATCAAATAATAATTAAGTACATAATAAAAATTATTATGTATAGATATGTAAATGTATTTAAGTTAATTATAATAATAATTAATAATTATATAAATATAAATAAATAAATAAATTATTTTGCTTATGCTTATACTTCAGCTGTATATATAGCCCCCCTTTGATTTATTTATAAATTTTTTTTAAGTATTTCCCAAACGATGTTTAACAGAGCAAGGACATTTTCACAGTATGCCTGATAATATTTTGTCTTCTGGATAAAGTCTTATTTGTTTTATTTCAGCTAGAATAAAAGCAGCTTTTAATTTTTTATTCACCATTTTAAGGTCAATTTTATTAGCCCCTTTAAGCTTTATTTTATTTGATAGTCTACAGAACAAACCATCGTTATACAATAACTTGCCTAATTACCCTAACCTGCCTAGTTAACCTAATTAACCTAGTTAAGCCTTTAAATGTCACTTTAAGCTGTATAGAAGTGTCTTGAAGAATATCTAGTCAAATATTATTTACTGTCATCATGGCAAAGATAAAATAAATCAGTTATTAGAAATGAGTTATTAAATCTGTTATGATTAGAAATGTGTTGAAATAATTTTCTCTCTGTAAAACAGAAATTGGGAAAAACAATAAACAGGGGGATTAATAATTCTGACATCAGCTGTATACACATACATACATACTTTATTTCTAAGTATATACAGAAGATTAATAAGGGATATGGTGTGAGAGGTGAATTTAGGAATTTTACACCCGTGAATATTATTATTTTATCAACTCTATTCAGTCAAATATAAATCACTCTTGCAGGTAGGTTTAGTTCTGTGACCGAATATCTTCAGATAAGAAACTGTTCCGCACTCAATCCTTCATTAAATAAACTGAAGCAGCTGAGGAGACAAAGGTTTCTGCTAAAAGCTTCTGTAAACCAACAGAAACTGGTTATTTTTCAATAGATGTATATGTTAAAACTTTAAAAATACCAACACACACACAGAGAAAGTCAATGTTTTCAGATTATTTTATTGGCTTGACAAATGTTACATATGTATCTCCAAAGCATTTGTGATGTTTACATTAAATAGGACATATAAAAACAATTGACATAGTAGTGGTGGTTTTTCTAATAAATAATAATTAACAGCACATTAACAATCATCTGTAGGATAAAACAATAATAATAAATAGTTTATCTAATAGTCAACAGATTAAGATTCATTTATAAACAATTTAGAATCCTGTTTGTGTGCGCACACACGCGCTCCCAGCTGATGGTTGCTTAGCAACGACAGTCATAGAATGTGTTCTATAGTAGTTCTATGTTAGAACAGCGCATCTCAGTTTGCCAGCATTCAGGACGGTGACTTGGTAAATCACACAGTTACTGTACGAATTGACAAATCTGTGATTGTGAAGGACTCGTTCGCTATGGATACTCACTATAATCAGTCTTCAGACAACCCTCATCACGAGTGGTCATCGGTTGTTCTGACTTTGGACCCAGATGTGGACGAACAAGAACTGATTGAGTCAATGAAACAGTTCAGCCAAATCCACTCTTTGGATTTTTCTTTTGATGAAGACACTAATTGCAGACACATTTATGTGACTTTTGAGCATTCAGGACGGGACCAGCAACCAGATCCTGTGGTCCCCACGAGCCGCTTTATTGAGCTGAAGACACTGCTCGTGAGCAATCTGCACCCAATGGTCACCGAACAACAGCTTATTGAAAAGTTTGGTGCATTGGGGTCCATCTCGACTGTGCAAGTGTGCAGAAACAACATCATCTCTCCTGCTTATGCCTTTGTGACTTTCCATCATCGACGTGATGCAGTGCGAGCACAAAAAGCTCTGAACTTCACTGATTTACTGAATAAACCTCTGATCATCATGTGGGGCCCAGACAAGACAATTGAGGTCCTCTCAGATAATGACAGCAGCTCTCCAAGACAAACAGAGGAGAGAGAGACAGCTGGAGAAACAGAGGAGAGAAAGACCAGTGAAGAAACAGAGAGAGAGGCCGCTGGAGATACAGAGGAGAGAAAGACCAGTAGAGAAACAGAGAGAGAGGCCGCTGGAGATACAGAGGAGAGAAAGACCAGTGGAGAAACAGAGAGAGAGGCCGCTGGTGAAACAAAGGAGAGAGCGAACAGCGAGTCTTCATGGGGAAGAAGGATCTCCAACAATGTGAAAAGTGCTATGAAAGCTGCGGTGAGCAGTCCAGCAGCCTGGGTCGGAGTCGGCATAGGTGTCTGTGCTGCTTATGCCTACTTCAGGAGCAGGAGCTAGTGTGGACACATTCTAAAAGGTAATTTCATCTCATTTAAGTGACATGACATCTGACTGAGCTTAGTAACACTTCTGGAACATGCTGTTTGTCACACACACATATGTATATATAGAATTCTCTGTGGGTCAGAGGTCATGTTAATTTATACTCAAATTCAGCTTCATTTAGACATCGACACTGATTTTCTTGACTCTGTTCTCTTCCAGACGAGAAGGCCTGCCTCACGATCTCCACTCATCATCCCCAGAGTGACCAATCACTGCTCCAGAAAGACCTTGATTTCCCCAGCAGGCCAAACACTTGCAATAAATGTGAATTGAATAAACTGTCTTGTGTGTGTCTCATTCAGCAGTAAAGCTCAGCCTTGTAATTTATATCCATCCAAGAGAAGCATAATAGCACTTTGTTCCAGACACAGAAGTAAACGATAGGATTTTTTTCACATCTATTGATGTGTTAGACAATAATTTACAGACCGTATGAGAAGGACTGCATCAAAGAACAATCAAATGTAGAATTGCAAATCATTATTTCAATTATAATGTACAGTGGGTTCTAATAATGTCTGTACAGGAAGATATTCGGAAGAACGTTGGAAAAAAGCAGCTATTGACTTCCATAGTATTTTTCGTTCCTACTATTGTGGGTTTTTTCTGTACCACTTTATTTTGATGGTTAGATCATCTTTATTTTGAGTATTAGTAGACTGTCTGCTTAATATCTGCTGATTCTGCTCCTTCAACAGACATTTAACTGACTATAAGAAACTTTTCAAGTGCATGTCAACTTACCCTAACCCCAACCCAACAGTCTAATGAAAATTAGTTGGCATGTACTGTAGATGCAATGTAACTTAAATTCAACAAACTGACCATCAAAATAAAGTTTGGCTGTTTTTCTTTTACAACATTCTTCAAAATATCTTCTTTTGTGTTCAACAGAAGAAAGAAATTCAAGGTTTGAGACCACTTGTGTGTGAGTGAATGATGAGTAAATTTTCATTTCTGTGTGAACTGTCCCTTAAACGCTGGCTTAAAATATGTGATTTGTTTAAGAAATGTGGTTAAACATGCATGTTTCAGTAAAAATGATTTTAAGTATATTGTATGATGTAGATATTGACTTGTTGCCACCTATTAGCCTGAAGTGATAAGGTCTTAAAAGGGGGCCTATTATGCTAAATCACTTTTATAAGTGGTTTAAACAGTTGTGTGGCAGCAGTGTGTGAATAACCAATGTGCAAATTACAGGGGGTTTGGGGAGGGTTTGACCCCCTCCAATATTGCTTGATCCCCTCTGAAGGACTTTAAAACAAGACGTATGAGAGGTGGGTCAGCACGTTAATAGTAAGAAAATGCTTTCTCTGATCTATGTCCTTAATATTAATAATAAAAAAGTATAATGTAAATATAGATTTGAGCGGTTTATAGCATTGTAAATGCATAATTGTGCCAATCAATGCTAGGAAAATATCATTCAACAGTCTGAAAATAGCAGCTCTTGAGGACCAATACCATCTAAAGTTTTCACAACACACATTTCTTGTAAAATACTGTAGGTGTCTATATCTGCATGTAGCCCAAAAAAAAAAAAAAAAAAATGGACACATAATTTGTATAGTTTGACCTACAGTAACCTCTAAAAGTCACTAAATATCCCTCAAAACACTGAAAACGTATGCATTTTATTAATAAATTAGATTTTATTTAAATACATTCTTACATTTAGTTTACTGAAGCATGTATTACCAAACTACTACCCCCCACAGGTGCACATGCATTGATTTCCGACATGTTAAGTGGAAATGACTTGACAGTATATGGTAGTTCGTCATAAAAGCATGTTACTGTATACCACTGTAATCAGGCAATATATGAGTGATTAGGAAATAGCTTAAAACACTCTTGATAAAATCTTATTTGTCTTAGTTTAACTGGGAAATAGGTCAATAATATTAGCCCCCCTATAATAAATATATATTTTATTTCCTTTCATTTATATAGCATTTTACGGCAGCCATATTGCGCATCAGCTGATTGGGGGAGAGGAGACAGATTAATATTAAGATTAAGCCAATTATAATATGGGGATGGTTAGGAGGCCAAATTTAGCCAGGATGTCAGGGTGAAACCCAAACATTTTTTTAAATCCCCTGGGATTTTTAACGACCACAGAGGATCAGGACCTTATTTTAAAGAGCTCATATTATACATGAAATAGGGTCATATCTTGGTTGTAAGGGTCTCCAACAACAGTCTAATATGCATGCAAGGTCAAAAAACACTTTTATGGTCTTATAATCTGCATTTATTTTTACCTAAATATCCCAGCGACTCCCGTATGAATCGTCCAGTGATTCATTTGTTCCCAAACCCCTCCTTAGCGCGAAGCTAATCTGCGCTGATTGGACCAATGACACTCTGTCGCGATTGGTCGACTGCCTTCAGTCAGAGAGTGAAATGGCCAATAGCTAATCAGCAATATAAAAAGTAATCACAGTTCATACACGCTCGATAGTGTAGGCGTGGATTTTAGCTGCCATACACACACAAAAACACACACACACCTCCGGACGACAACGCTTCCGCCCGCACCCGCCAGGTTTTAGCCTGAGAACCCGCTCCATTTTCTGCCCGCCGCGCCCGATCCCCCTAGAGCGGGGGAGAACACAACCAAAAGTTACCCAGCTATACAGTCCAGATAGCCAAGATGTCTGTATAAACACACACACAGCACCAAGCACACAAAGCTCGCTCTCGCTCTCTCTCATACGCGCGCGTGCGCACTAACACACACACACAAGCACCAAGCAGACTCTCTCTTTCTCATTCGCATAGCAATATCCGTGATATTGCTAGACAGCCCGCTCCCGTCCTAAATTAAACCCGTTACCGACCGCTCCCGCGATTTATTTGGAAATTTATTCCCGCGGCTGCCCCCGCGGCAGATTTCTGCGGCGCGGGAATAAATTTCCAAATAAATCGCGGGAGCGGATTGCAGAACTCTACCACGGAGCTCCATAAACAAAGCAGCACGCGTCGCGTTTTTAACGTGACTTTGCACGCGATAAGAGAATATAGCCAGTTAACTGGATACAGTACACGCGGTTACAAGTAACAAATCACAAATACAAATACATTTGCAAGCTAGAGTCAACGAGGCAACAACTTTAACCGCACGTACTTACACTTGAGAAATGAAAACCCATCCTGACGTCCATCAGTTAGTTACTCTTTACTGATCCTTCCTTTAACAAATGCAGATGAAGTATTCTTTGTAGCATGTAGTTTGCAGAAGTTTCCAGTAGTTTCCAACTGCTTGGTTATAATGCTGATGTTTCATCTTTGGGTAGAGACTCAATATAATATCCATCTGCAGTGTGACTTCAATCGACCGGCATGTTTGTGTTTGTGTTTGTGTGTGTCTGGGTTTCTGCGTCAGAGGGCGGGGCCTCAGGTTTGAAATCTCCCGGGTTTGCGCGTGCACATGAATAACTTGGTTTCATTCGTACGTCATGGCGAAACACCTAATGAATCTGTATCAAGGCGACTTGTTTGAAGCACTATGAGTCGACTCTTTTATAGATGAATCAACCGTTTTAAACACTGTATTCTTACAGATTTAAGCCTTAGCTGGATACTTCACTTCACTTAGAGCTGTGTTACACACTACATGGAGGGGAATTTTCAAAAACCCATAATATGGGCTCTTTAACATCTGAACAGTATAGAGACTCCGTCTCTATACTGGGGCGTTAGGACCCAAGCAGACCACAGGTTAAGCACCCCCTACTGTTCTCACTAACACTACTTCCAGCAGCAACCTAGCTTTTCTATGTGGTCTCCCATCCAGGTACTGACCGAGCACAGCCCTGCTTAGCTTCAGTGGGCGACAATGTGAGAGCTGCCGGCTAGCTAGCTTTTTGATTGGCTACAGAATTTTAAGTTCGTTATACAATGACTTGTCTAATTGACCTAATTAACCTAGTTAAGCCTTTAAATGTTGCTTTAAGCTGAATACTACTATCTAGAGAAATAGCTAAAGAAATATTATCCACCGTCTTTATAGAATTATTAAATAAATATGTATAAGAGTTGTTTTTGAAAAATGATTTCACAGATAGGCAAATGATTTTGTATTTAGTTGTATATTCCTTAGTAAGAGTCTAAAAGTAAGTGATTGAAAATAGGGTCAGTGTGCACATCCTACGAAAACTTCGAGCAGGCGCTCGATCAAATGTGTGAATGATCTGCTTTTATCTCGATGTTTCTCAACAGTGCCAGAAGAGAAGTTTTTGACGCTGGAAGTTTTCCACAAGTTTACTCTAGACAGAGCCAAGCAGGACATCCGCAGTGTTTGGCGGGCGATCCTGGCCTGTGGATATGACCTGCACTTTGACAGGTTTGCAGGTTTTAAAATGATCTTTGGCTTCACCACATCAGCGCTCACATCACATATATCACAGAAAAACAGGCAACACAAATACATTCAATATCATCACATAAACCACATTAAAAAAAAATTATTAATGAAATTCTAATGGCAGTCGGCACAAAGGACATTTGATACACAGTTTTCTTTACTTGGATCTATATCATGGTTGCAGGTTTGTGCGCTCTTCCGGAGTGTCTGTTTGACAGGGGGTGTTTTGTTTTTGTTGTCCACGTGTATTTGTTCTGGTCATGTGTTATGACGGCACTCAGCTAGTTTGATTAGCTCGTGAGCTGAGGCTCATTATCGTGCCTATATATGGGCGACATTTTCTGTGTTTCTTGTCAGTTCGTTACGTGTGGTTATGTGTGCATTTGTCTGTGCTCAGGACCGTGAGGAGTTACCACTGGACCCTGTTTTCCTGCCTGATCCTGTCACGATTTAGCGTGATCAAAACAGAGAAACAAAAAGGTGCGGATCCAAGTGCAGATTATTTATTTACAGTGCAACAAACAAGGTGATCAGAATACAAAGTAACAAATAAACGACAAAACCAGAAACTACATCAGAGACGAGGCTCAGGAATAACAAACTCAAACAACTAAACTTAACTAGAAAACAGACGAGACAAATAACACACAAACTAGACTAAGGCAAAATACAAGAACAAGATCAGAATAACAAACTCGGAATACTAGACTTACTGGATACTCGGACAAGGAAGACAAACGACGCAATAACAAACAACGGTGGAATGATGGAATATATAGTCCAGATAATCAACGGTAACACAGAACAGATGAGATGACAGGTCAGTGTATGTGTTCCGGTGTATGCGCCTGGTATGTATGGAATTGTAGTCTTTCTAGGACGCTGTAGTGCTTTCTGAGTCCT